CGATAGATAAAACAAATAAACTTAAAACAGTAAGGAAACTTGAGAATGAGGAAATTGTCGGAAACTCGTAACTGACCACATAAACTTCAGTTAGAGACGTAATAAGAACAATAACTGTCGCATTGGTCAAGTTTTGTTCGTTGAGTTCGACTTTAAAGTCGAGCAACGTATTATTACATGTTTTTGTGTTATAACTATCGTCGTAACCGACACGGCGAGTCATGAGCTTGCTGCTTGTAATTATGGGCCCCGTGCGTGCCTTGATAGTAGACGAGCAACCTCGAACATTTACGTGAGTAATTAAACGTACCGTAACGCAACGTAGGTAATTATTATCTGCTCAACGTAGGTATGCATTCTGATAGCCACTTTCGACTGTTAGTAACAAATCGTACGCGGTCTAAATGGTAACATAACTGGCTAAACATTGATGAAGATACAACAACTACACCTTGTGACGTATAAAGATAAAGAACAATATTAACCGCTATACGTTAGATCGTACCGGTTTCTCTATTCTCTGCAAAACCGCAATTCCATTTCCCGTGGGTGTTGGAGAAGCAATTAAGAGATTATATCTTAGTTGACAGCATCTAGACGTGTTCAATTAGCATCAGATTATTATATAAGCACCTACCACTTATATTTCTTTTGTTCGAGATTTAATCTTTCTAGATGAGATTGTTTTGTCTCATGATTAGGTAAGTTGGACATTCTTATGTCTCTAAACAAGAAACTCATTCTAAAATCGTCACGATCTGATGTCTTTTATCATCATCGTGATTAATCGTAAAACGGTCTTTGCTGGGTTTCCAGATCACTGGTTGGTAGTACCGCTAACAAATTTGTAAAAGACAATCTACATGTAGATCCCGAAGAGTCACTGATGTCTTTATTCATGAGTTATGCCCGAATACTGAAACGGTACTCATTTAAGTCGTGCTTAAGTATAGTTCTATCCTTTGTAAAGTGACAGAGATGGTACGATATTTAAGTATAAGTTAAAGAGTAACATTTCAGTATTCAGGCGCTATTGTACCTAATTTGTATTGTGTACCTACGTACCTACAATGTAACACCCACTTTTCATTATTTATGTTATTAGGCCCATGTAATAGGAGGTGAGCCTATTGCTGTATACTGGGCACATTTCCAGACTCCGTGCAACATATGAGATTTTTTTTTAAAACCCACTAATACTTTGCCCGACCCGGGAATTGAATCCGAGACCGCTTGCCCGGCAGTCGCACTTGCGACCACTCCCAACAACGCAGTATTTAACTTCTACATGCGGCAAAACTCAATAAAACCAACTTATTCTGGAGGCTATTATCTGTATTGAAGTTTATAACGACATTGCTTCAGTAGTTTCTTAAATGGCCCATAAAACGTTTAAAATATGACCACACTGATTAGTTTTATGAATGGATGAATTGGCTTGAGTAATTACGACGATGGTTCGCGAGCACTATGAATAATAATACATTTCAGCTGGAGTATGATGTATTAAAATAAATAAAAGTGGATTAAAATAAATGGAATGTTTTAATTAAATTATTCGTAGTAGTAACTAGATATTCTTTTTGAGTAAAATGTTTGAAGGAGATGGAAAACCACACGAATGAATTTCAAAGTGCAATTTGTCAGTGTAAAATTTCATCCACCTCTGTTCAACCACTTTACCACTGTTGACCACTTTTGTGCGACAAATCTGTACAAATAACATAACATCACGCCTTTTATCCTCAAAGGGGTAGGCAGAGGTGCACATTATACCACTGCACAATGTAACACCCACTTTTCACTATTTATGTTATGAGTCCCATGTAATAGGGGGTGAGCCTATTGCCATATACCGGGCACAGTTCCAGACTCCGTGCTACTACTGAGAATTTTTTAAAAACCCAGTAATACTTTGCCCGACCCGGGAATCGAGCCCGAGACCCCTTGCTCGGCAGTCGCAATTGCGACCACTCGGCCAACGAGGCTGTACAAATAAAATAGTCAAAAATAGATTACAGTAATGTACTTAGAAATTAAGGCGTAGTCTCCAAATAATTTGGGCTTGCAGACGGCGAGCATGAATAGTTCACCGCCCGATCAGAACTTAGTCGTAAGAGCCTGATACTTCCTCTCGCCTCACCCGGACGGGAGAAGTCATTGGATGACTCTCCTCCTTAAAAAAAACCATGAAATAAATTAAATTAAAAGTAAGAAACTAACAGCAGATAAAACTTTATACTAAGTGAAAAATATAAAATGATGCGTTTAATACTAATTTTATCTGGTCATTGCATTAATATAACGTCTATATAAATAGTATTACTTTTTCATTTATCTTAAAAGTATCTATAAAATACCTAACACCCCGATTAGGGTTATCGAGATACGCTATAAAGTTCAATATAAAACCCTAACACGTAGTGTTTAATGTCGCGTTTACGTAAAATTAAATGTAGTTTTATAGAATCCAATTGACTGTAAAATGCGATACGCTGCATGAAAATTTTACTGTTACTTTATACTATTGAAGCGTATTTTCAAATCTTGTAGAGTCATTGGAATATATTTGAAAACATACGAACTGTATGTTATTGTTCAACTCTGTTCTGGTAACGCTAGTATACAAATCGTCACATCGCAGAGTATCCATTTGTCTTTTGGTTCGATGCCCGGGAAATGGGAAGGAGGATGTCACAGCTCCTATCGTATGGAATGAACATGCTGAATATTTATTAGTTTAATATGTCCGTCGTTCTTATTTCGTATACAGCTTCTTTGTTGTAACTTGTCTTTCTTATTAGCTGTCCGTCTGTGACGTCAATCTTGTAAAGTTGCTGAGATTATTTTGTTATACTTTTACATCTTGCTCCATTATTGCAGTCTTATGCAAAGAGCCGCCTTCGAAACTGAGTTCCTTTAGTGTCTAGTTTGCAAGTTTTGATATCGGCTTTCACAACATCCTGCTAGTTTAGACTTTGAGCTCCTCCGGGGCCTTCAATGCGGTCGCAGTTCGTAGTGCATTGATATTTAATAATGCAGGTATACTAAAGCGTCGTAATTTAGTCTGTTTCTACGAAACTGAATGTTGGATCGTCTGCTTTGTTATGAATTATCCTAAAGCTACAATTTTGTTAGCTTGACTGACAGTTAGAGAAGTTAAGACGACATCAAAAAGATTGCCTTGTAATTGTAATGAACATGGAAATTATTATAATAACATTAATACTTGAAAGGCTTGTTAGGACTAATCTTATTATCCCTGAGTGCTTTTGTCTCTGTTCAAGTTAACTCATTATAATTTGGAAAACAAAGGAAACAGGGTACAGTTCGTATAATTTTTATGTAGATCCATTAATGAGCATAGCTCGACATTTGTTTGCGTTTAAAACAAGAATAATGTTATTTAAAGTCAACAGTTAATCATGTTTTGAAGCCTTGTTAACATTTCACTGAAAATATGGGGCGTTTTCAAATAAAAAAGGATTTATTATACACGGATGAAGTAGTAGTTGGAAATGAAAAATGGGATGATGAGAATTAATCTTAACACATTAATTATGAATTTGAAAAGATGAACGCAGATAATAACAATGAAGCTGATTTTCAAGTACCAAGCAGAAAAAATGCTCTTAGTCCTATAAAAATTAGTACTTTAAAGTCTCCCAAACACAGAATATCATAACGTATTAGTATACAAATGCTCCTATTGTTCCTTTAGCTGTATTTACTTAACACTTAGTTTCTATCGCAAAGATATTCTTGTCCTCTACAAACATTAGCAACGATGCTAGTTTATGTCAACTAGTTTGAATGAATACTATTGTTATCAAAGTTTCCGTTACAATTACGTTTCTGAACATATTCATATTTTTGTTATAGCTTTGTCTTGTTCTAGTGTCTTGTATAGTTTTGTGAAAAATCACGTGAGAATTTCTTTTACCGTCTTTTGAGATACCGTCATAATTTGAGAGGTTTTAAAACTTTGCTTGTCTTAATTAACTTCTACATTAATGATTTTTGTCATTTTTAATTTGTTTTGTTTGTTATGTTAATTCTATAGTTTTCATGTGATCGGTTCTTTTAGATAGCTTATAACCTTCTAATGAGAATGTAACTAAGATGCACAAATATTTTTCACTCTAGACCGAGCCAGTCCTTCCACAGGTTATCTATTACTTTCATAACAATTCTACTTAGCAGGAATTGTATGCTATATCGAATCATTGTCTCAAATAGTGATCTTAAGCTAATAAGTTTAGTTACCTCTATTATTAAAACAAATATCAATGTATTTATAAACATTACTACGTGTTCAATGTAGAATTGTATGTTAATTTTGTGTCGTCACTATGTTGCCTACCTGTTATGTCTTTACTAGTATCGTCTTTGTTTTTTTAGAGTTCTATGGCATTATTGATACTATCTTCTTTATTAGTATGTTTATTATTGAAAACTGGTTTATTGCTAGCTATTTCTATCAGAGCATCGTCGGGTTATGTTGGTTGTTTTGTTATAATTTACATCAAAATACGTTTCAATAGAATTGTCTCTCCAAGTTATGAACGGTTCTCATGCATTGTTATTAAATCTTATGTTCTCGGTACACGGTACTGAACATGTAAATAATTCCTGGTAATATTAGGATCTGTTAGCCGTAGCCTAATGCAAAACTGTAGATGTCGCGTTGCAGATTCTGTAACATTAATGTATTAGGAGTTAATGAAGGAGTAAACATAATTATTTACTCCTTCAACCGAAGAAGTACGAACCTCTTATACTATCTCTAGAGAATTTATAAAATTGACAATGAAGATTAATCGATTAAAAATATAGAGGTAGTATCTGATTCGGATGGTTCGATACCCGACATTTCGGATAAACGAAAACGGACTCTTGATCATGTTTGTGACGATGGAATAACTTAAGAAGATGGCGTTGGTAAATGTGATGAAGTTTTTAGTATATTATTTAATGAAGTAAATGTGAATTGTTGACAGGAAGGCGACGCGGCAAGTGGTGGATGCGTGGTTAGTGTCGCACGCGACGCCGCCGAGCGCCGAGCTCGCGTCGCCGTCGCGCGCCGGTTCCGGCTCTGGAGCTACAACGCCTGTCAGGTAACTATTGAATTTCACATTATTTTAGAGTTAAATTTACAGTGCTTTTTATGAAATAAGCCGGTAAACGAGCAGACGGATCACGTGATGGTAAGCAATTGGCGTCGCCCATGGACACCCGGAATACTAGAGGCGTTAAAGTGCGTTACCGGCTTTTCTCTAATTAGAAGATAATGAAGGATTTTAATTGTGTAAGTTACTCGAGACTACCATTTTTGAAATGTACTAAACTAAGCAAGTCCTAGATTCAATACTTTGCTGGACTTTAGGTGATGCACTAATTGCTGTCCATTAAATCTAATTACACAAGTAAGACAAGTCAGAAGCCCAAAAATTATTGTATCAATTATGACACAATCAATACCTAAAGCAGGAGACAAACTAATAGATAACGAAACTAATAGACAAACAACAGAGTCATAATAATCGTCCTGTAAAAGGTTAACAGATTTCCCCACAAACCCATACAAATCCACCTACGCAACCTATCCGGTATCAACATTATGTAACCCATATGACCCTTGCGGTATCCGATAACATTTTATAATATAAATATGAGGAAGCCAAAAAGGATTATGATGTTAACAATGACCGATATTGGGAATTAGGCTTTGTTTGCGAACCGCTGAAATGACAAACATTTTTGATAAATTAGCTTCATCGCCCTCTGCCAACAATTCTTGGTAAGTACGTTATTATTTGTAGGTAGAGGATTGTTCTTTTCAGTGTAATTAATCACGTCAGGCAGAGAGAAAAAAAGTCATTAATCATACGAGTAAAATAATCCACTTATTAATCATTGTTTTAAGGGATTTTGTTGGAGAATTTTGGATTTCTTTCGAAGTAAGACCTTTATATTTTTAGACTTTCCTCTTCTTGAAAGTTTAGGTTTGCTTTTTCAAATTCAGTCTTGTCTTTTCGTTTTATCGTATCTACATTGAAAAGACACGTCTCACTGGTTTCATAAGTTACGCGGTAAAGAATCATGTTGTAATAAAAGACGAGCCTAATTAACAATTAAGATTCTAGAATGCGTATTTCCAAATATTAAGTAATAACTTTTCCGACCAGAATAATAAAACTAAAATTCGGACAGTTGTACCTATATCTATGACCAATCAATCAAAGATTAATTTTCTAAAACAAAAAAGCTACAAAGGAGATAATTTCCACACTTCACATGGTGCAGAAGTCGTTAAAGAATAAATGTTGGTACAAGCTTCCTCTTAACAGGTCCTAAATAAATAAACTCAGTTCACAGCTGAGAAAAATCCAATCCGTTAGTTTAGGTAAAGCAAATATTGCTTACATAGTCAACAGTTAAAGGGTTCGATAAATAATTAATGCTAGGAAATTAAGAACGTAGATAAGTGTTAATGTAAATTAATACTTATTGCGGACTTTAAGTCAATGTTGGTCAAGTAGATTTTTTCTTTTTGATTGATTTTGATTATGACAGGTTCGGCAAGACGCGCCGTTGACGGTTTGAAGTAATTATTGGGGTTTTGGGTTTCAAAAAATGAATTTTGATCGGGGTCTTGAAAAGGGCTCAGCCACTAATACAATTACAGACATAATGTGTTCGCAAATGCTACTACATACTTATGTATGTGTACTTATGTAAGTGTGAGGTTATCCTCACACTTCTCTCCCTTAGGGGTAGGCATAGACTATGGGACGCCAATTGCTAAAAATTCTTACATACCTCTTTCGCTTCATCAACAGTCATCAATCAGTCTTTTCATGCATGCTCATCACATGTACTGTTAAACGCCACTACTCTTCGTCAATGCATACTATAAAAGAGAATCCTATAAAACTTTTTGCAGTAGGCTTATCTCAAAAAACCTCGCAACACACTTCTGTCTATCTTCTTACCAAAAACAGACATGATAAATGTTATTGTAAGAAATAAATTCACCCCTCCTGTATTCAAAATCCACGTTGATAGTCTTCATCAATCTTATGTCATCGCGTCTTTATCTGGTACAACTAAACCACCCTCCGCATAGATTAGGAGGACTTACTTGAACGCTAACCTATATGCATAATGATGAGGATATTTGTAAAGTAAGGATGTTGGGAAAAACAAGAGAAAGGTGGGATTAGAGTCTTGTAACACCCTGTTGAGAGAAGGTTTATGAGAAAGGAAATGTTTGACTGAGAAGACGATAAAGATAGAAATACAAATGAGAGGTGGTTATAGATATAATGTCCACATTATATCACCTCATCACTTATAATCACCTCCAGGTGATTGTATAAGACAGTCAAGAAAGAACACTAAATTGATTATTGTGGTTGACACACACAATTACATTTATCTTTTTTAAACTTTTCGACGTTTATATTATCCAATTAGTTTTTCGATTTTTGGGTAAACTTTGCCCGATTCCTGGAATGCTTTTCTGTTAAACTGTAACGAAAGAACCTCTTTTAATCTTGTTTCACCAAAACCTCATACTTTCTAGGCTCTTTACTATATATTATATATTCATAAACGCCTTCTATCACTGGTTTGCACAAAATAGGTGTGAATTTATGAAATAGTCCCTTTACGTCCCCATTATATCCATTTAGAACTTAGTTTCGAAGCAAGATCTAGTTTTAGTACCTTATTAAAACTTTACCTAGTTCACGGCGGAAAGGTGAAAATCTATGTGGAAATAACATAGTAAATATCCCTGTATATTAATATAATAATTCAGTAAAGTTTGGAATCAAAGTTTTTCGTTTCAAAAATAATATTAGTTAAGTAAGTTGATATTAATTTGGAATTTTCTCTTGACGATGAGTAAAGTTGAGAAACGTAGTCAATGAAGTTTCTTGAGGACCAGTTAATGTGGTTCGTATTACTAGACTGTACGTGTTATTATAGGTCCGATGTTTATGTGTATTTTGTTTTGAGACCGCTAAACAATAGATGGAATATCTCCAGTTTCATGATGGCCTACATGTTTAGTATCGGTAAAAACTTGATGAATATATTGAACCTTTTTGTTGAAATGGTTATTATCAATGGTTTAAAATGCGTTTTAGACAATTCCTCATCACCTGACTCCGCTGTGGAAACTTGAAGAAATATACAAAATACATAAGAAAAGAATGGAGAAAGCAAAAAGATTAAGAACGTTGAATACAACAATTGTTGAACAATTTAGAATTAATTTAGTTCAATTTTTATCTTGTCTCGACACGTCTAACTTAATTGAAGCTGTCGATTATATTGAGAACAACATTTATTACATTTAATTTAATAACGAAGGTCACTCGAGGGCTTCTGAAATAATCCATCAGAATTAATTTTATCCAGTTTCATGACATATCTCCTAAATCCATTTGGCTGTTGTCCAGTCCACTAATTGCTGAATAGATCTAGCTTGCTCTCTCTTTAGTTTTAATACTAAAATTATAAATAACATAATTGTATTATGTTAATGTTTATTTTAGTAAGTGCTATCAAGTTACTCTTCATATTTTTATTTTAATACTGACGTAAAAATAATGAGTATTAGTCTTTGTGGTTTATTCATATGAACTGTTTTAATTTTGTTCTATTTTTAATCCATTTATAAAAATGGCTATTCGTAGTCCTTTTGTGGTTATCAAATTATTCAAGTGTCGCTTGTTACTCAAGTTTGTTATAAATTATTATTATTAGTGAAGGTTTTGGTTTTCATAGGTTCAAATTCGATTTTGTAGACTTGTTCTTAATAGGTCCATAATAAGTAAACCTCTGATTACTGATTTTCGGTTTGAACAACTCAAAACTGATATAAGAAAATAATTTCCAAGAAGCCAATTTTTTATTCCACGATTTTTTGTTTTCTGTACTAATGTTGATGGAACAGAGAATGTGTCATTTTGACAAAATGTTATCGACGTACCGGAAAATAGATCGTTTGGTCAATTTAACTGTGTTTAAAAGCAATCAAAATCGAACATCCAGTCAACACAAAGTTCCACAGTTATTCAGGCATAAAAATGGACATGTTGGCAATGTTCGGAAATATTGGTCACATTGCACGTTGCGCCTACATTAATAGGGAATAGCAGAAATGTATCTTATAAACTTAGTTACTCTTGTTTGTTTTCAAAATCAACTTTGAAGATTATGTCATATTAATGACTTGTTTTAGTGGGAGATGAACGCCTAGCGATTGCATCAAACCATGTTCTATTGACAACATTTACATATTATCATACATTTTTGATTTGGCCTAGGTACTCCTGAACATCTTCCACACAAATACACAATGTTAAAATAATTTTGCCTGTGGCTATTTGTTCTAAATATTAGAAGTATTATAGTATCTGAGTTTATGATGTTCTCGATCTTAGATCACTTTATAGGTTAGAAGAATTATTTACTCCAACAGGATAGCAACCAGACTTCTCTCTACTGGAGTCGATAACTAAAGTACCCTTATCATTTCACAGAAAGATCTCAGCGCACGAGTTTGAGCGTGGTGGTCTTCTGAAGCCGTTGGTGACGACGGTAGACGGCACACCCACCTTCCTAGGAGACCAGCCTCCTCACGCCACACCTTCGCGGCCGCAGCGGAGGTCGCGGCATGAACTGAGACAGCTGGACGAAAAGGAACTTATATTTGAATTAGTAAGTATTTTTTTTAATTTTTTTTTTATACTTTATAGGTCGATGTTTGACCACCATCTCGCCTGATGGTAAGCGATGATGTGGCCGACGATGGAGCACGCCTACCTATGAGCAACCTGTTCACTCGGGACTTGAAGACACCCAAGTCATATTTGACGGGAAACACAGCCTCTGGCAAGGAATTCCATTCCTTAGCGGTTCGCATGAGGAAGCTTGACGCGAAACGCTAACTCTCTCTCTTCTTACTACATTACAGCTACTTCTCGAGCTATACAATGCCAGTTTTTCTTAAACGTTGAACATATGGAAAGATCATACAAAGTACAAAAGATCATAGGTACATGATAAAATGGTTTCGGGGAAAAATTATTATCGTGGGTGCGTTTATAAATACATTATTTCATGTACATGAAATAATACTTAGACCAGCGACGACAATTTGTGAGGATTTTTAAACATTAAGAAAAGTTAGGTACCTATTTTATTTCTGTGTGCGTCTGTGCGTACAGATCTTGTGCGTTCTTGGGTTTTGTATCAGCTTTTTCGCGCGTAAGTTGTATAAATGAGGTTCAAGAAAGAAGAGCAACCAAATGCTCACAATTCACGATTTCGCCTAACTCTTCTCTTGTGTTAAAAATCGGTAGAAAACCGCAGTTCTGTGCACTTACCCTAATCGTAGTATAAATTTTTTGGCAACGTCACTTTTGATAAAATGTGACGAGTGCAGAAAATTGATTTTGATATTACACATTTTATAAGCTAACGATATTTCCTCTGCAGTTGTTGAAAATGCCGTATTACTATTGTGAATGTGGTATGCCAAAATCAACTCTAATAGTGTGTATATACACAGAGGTTTTCGATAGATCAGAGATAAAAAAGAAAGTAATAAAATTAATCACAAATCCCTTTGGAATCTGATTAATGTTTAAGCAGCTTTTTCTAAAGATTTAATAGGTACAGTTATTTTGATTTTAGTTTCTTAACAAAATAAAATATTTTCTTTCTATTTAAAAGTAATTGCTATAAGTGTCACCGTCTTGATCTTTTAAGCTCTTGAGACTCCAGCCAGACTAAACGGACGAATAAATTCAGACACTAATTTGCTTGTATTTTAAATTTAAATACTTTTTGCAATATAATTTGTTAATTTGAATTAGCTGAGAAAATTAATGTTTAATTTACAGTGATTTGTTTATTTTGTCTTGATATACCCAGAAATATTATGTGGAGAAACAATGATTTAAAGAATTATCCGCATTGTATCAGCCACAAGTCTACTGCTGAATAGTAAACGTATTTTTTATACATAGCATAAGTAAGTGGTATAATAATCTTTAATGTGTTGTTAGTTCGATTTGAATGCGTATAGTATTGCAATTTTTTTTGACAATTCGCAACTGTACGTCATTAGTTTTGTCACATAGGATTTTTTTATTATTCTCTACCTATATTTTCCGATTAGGTCTTTTAGGTCCACTGCGAGTCTTAATTATGCCAGTATTGTATATGAATCAACTCCCAATTATGTTATTTCAAAATTATCTATAAGTAGATATCAACATCATCAAAATCAACAGCCTATAAGTGGCCACTGCTGACCAAAGGCCTCTTCTCACGCGGAGAAGGTTTGAGCATTAATTCATTGTCTGTCGATTTATGAGACACAATAGAAAACATTGTGGTTCGCGTAGATCTGCGTTCCGACATTTCACAGGTTAATCGTCACGCTTCCTCTATGCGGGTTGGCAATTTCAAATCTCCTCACGATGTTTTCCTTCACCGTTTGTCAATGGTGTTTAGATAATCTTAGAATAGATAGATATGGCCAAACTATAATTATTTATTAAAACATTGAATTAAGCTCTCATCGACCTTAATGGAGCTTTATTTCGAGAAAAATCTACGTAAAGAACTCTTTAAATTAATTATGCCAATACAATTTTCATTAGCACAGATTCTTGTTTTTTTTTATTTTCCCCCTGTTTTTACAAGTATTTTGTATAGAAGAGAAAGCTAACATCAGTTTAAAGGGCCGAAAAGGCAAAATTGTACAAATTGATTTATGTCTTTAGACAACCCTTTTTCAAAGAATTGGCCTTGTTCCCAATTCAAGATGAAATATATTTTCTTTGTTTTAATTTAGTGCCACGCTTCAAGTGATTTATGGTAAAAAGAAAAGATTTGGCTAAATTTTTAATCACTTAATCGGTATGTAAGTTAATTTGTACCAGGTACATATAAGTTGTAGAAGGGTTTATATAATTATACTACCTATACTGAATTTTCTGTTTCTCAAATGTGTTGAAAGGGTTATCTACTCATTCCACAGATATACCTATAATGTTAGTTGTGTTTGTTATCTTGCCAAAACTACTGATTGTATTCTAATAAAGAAATTAAAAGAAACCTCAATGATGTAATAAACATTTCATTAAAGATTGTAATGGCTAATCACCTGTAATAAGTAAACAAATAGTTATCGTGGTCATTGTCATTTATACTGAAGTAATAATAGGTATCGTATTGAAATACAGAGACGGAGTTTCCAGATAAGGCACCAGACATTTCAGGACACCATATTAACCCGTTGTGACGTCAATCAAAAGTTAATTTACGAAACAATCGGGTGTCGTTTTACATGTGTACCTAAATTAGGCCCCTGTCGGCTCGCCACCGACAAGCACAGAGGTCAATTCCGATAAAACAGCGGCCCGGCTTGATAATTACATGTAAACACACCGCTACACTCCACAACCATAGCTCAATGGAAATGACATTATATTACATTTCATTGTAAAGTAATTTTCATTTCAACAGCAAAAAATACAAGAATGACACGATAAGCGTACTACCATTCAACGGTTACATGACTCACACATTTTTTACAATAGAATTTTATCAACACGTGGATAGTATAAAGACGTGTCAGTAGAATCAATTGCATAACAATCATACGGCAACTTACTCAGATTGGAATTGTTATCGCACCCACTCTAGATTACCTTCTCCGCCACGCGGTCTTGTCACCTTATCGGGGGCTCGTAAATAAAATTATCACGTACCTTTCTTTCGTCAATCAAGTTAACATTATTGCGCGTTACCAACACCTGAATTATGCAGACCACGTCTGGTTTTCGTAAAAGCTGTACGTACTTCACTTCTAGTAACTTTGTTTCTGCGTTCTCGGCTGCCGACTGCTCGCCCGCATTTGATAAACGGGCGCCATACGCTCCGGTACACATGCACCCGATGCTTCTCAAACAAGGGACATACTAATGAAATTGAGCGTTGAATTATTCCATTTGAGACCATTAAACCTTAACTGACAGATCTAGTATTTCATAATGTTCTATACTGCTGGTATTTGTATCGTTTTAGCGTGTTAGTGCACATTCAGGTGCAATGTAACTAGGTAAATTGAGATTATCCTCAATCTTTTCATGAGTGGTTAATCTTGAAAATTATTTTGACCTTAAGGATTTAACCCTTTCTTCAGAAGATTACCCATTCTATTTCTGCCTTCTTTCTGAAGCTAAAACAAGAACGTTTTCTTTGTGTTATGAATTTATGATTTACGTTCTTTTGACATCGTTCCGTTCGTATTAAGGCAGTTGGTTGACTGAACGACTAGATAAACAGCTCTACTTGGCAACGCGCGTGTGAGAAGACTACCGTGAATATTCATAGCGCATTCATTGATGACGATGTTCTACTAAAGCGCCGTATATCTGCAAATTATAGATAAGTAAGCGTACTCGTAACCATTCATAATACCCGTGGTGTGCAGACTATTAAGAGTCTTTGCCGATCATTTTGAAGCAGATTTTTATTTATCCTTTATAGAGAACGATTATTGTACTATCAAGACGACCTTAACCGAAGAGAACCAACTTTAAGCCGCGGAGGAATAAACGGGCTCCCGGGGCTCCGGCTCCAAGTGCTGGAGTACGAACGGGGTGGTTTTTAGTCAGTAAGAGTTTGACACTACCTCTCGCCTCACCCGGGCGAGAGAAGTCATTGGATGATTATTCCCACAAAAAAAAAACCGAATCAAGTTTAATCTAAATACCCACAAGTGTGAATCAACAAGATCTTGAAGCGAAATAAGTACGAAAACATCTTGAATAGGTGTTCAATATTTTCTGCTCCAATTGTCGATCGGACAATATGATCTTATTACCCTCTTATCCTGCCGAAAATGGTATATTTACTAAGAAAGAATAAGCTTTTTCGAACGTAAACGGACGCCTACACAGTGCAAATACCTCCATTCAGAACTCACTCTCCCGATTGAGTTATTAAACGAAGTTCCTGTTCAACCTAAATGTTTGGTTGGGAGTCTCGGATTACTAGAGCATCACGTTCGACCCAAATTGACTATAATTAATCATTTCATGTACGTATTAATTGAGACGGCGACGGATGGGGGGATTTATTAATCATATATGGAAATTTGCAGAGTTCTAAAAAAGCCGTTTCATGGTAGTTATGTAGGAAAATAAATGTAGTTTTCTGCGTAATATATGCATGTCAAGGTCAAGCTCTGCATAACAATATTATGCATGAATCAGTCGTTGAAAAATATTTAATACTAATATTTATTTAACAATACAAATTCCAGTAAATAGGCGACCTTGCATCATGAGATTTTATCATTGTTAGTTCAAGGTCATATTTATTAATCACATAATTGGGTTGTCTTTGTAGAACGTAATAAAGCATCCGTCTGGAAATATAGAACGCGAGATTATAATAATTTCCTTTGCGAATAAAAAATATATTTACGAAATGTATTAGCGGATTCAGTAAATTCACGACGCCAACAGAAATACTTGGCGGAAATTAGTTCGGAAATCATATTCGACGTCTAGTTTTAGCGAAACCTTCGAGTTGGGATGTTACGTGGGTGGACAGAGTTTGTTGACATCCCTCTATTGCATCTTGACGTCGGTCTGACGTTCCCTCGACGAAAAGTTATATCCTTTTTGTGGCACACAATAATCGTATAGAAGTTTTAGATTTCAAAACTTGTTAGTTGAAGTGTTTTGTTGGTTGTATTGGGGAGGTTGATACTGAAATTTCTACACATATTTACTGTTGAAGTGGCTATTTGTGTGTCATAAAATCTCTGATTTTAGTAATGTTTTGTTTGAAATATATGCGTAAGTTTTAGAAATTCGCTACCGCTTGCCTGTTACTGATGTTCGTATTATCACAATACCCAACTTCACCTATGATTCTAAACTCAAATAAGCTCCGTATAGAGGTAAAAACTCCAACTGTTTCCTTTTTATCGGCTTCACAAGACTGATTTGTATCGATGCGTATATTCTTGAATCTAGATAAAGTTTTTAACTGACTTTTGCAATGGTTGTATTCCAAAATTTTTATGCCCCGAGTGCCAGGAGTTTGTGTTGTTTTATTCATTGATATGAAACTGGGTTTGCAGTTTAAACTAGTTTGCACTAGTTTTATTTGACTTTTATCCTGGTATGATTCAACGGGAAAGTTTATTGTATAAGTTGTGGTAGGGTTTATAGCAGAAATGTAGACGTGTAATCTTAATATATGCAAAAGAAAAGCCTGATGCAGATTACTAGTGACATCAAGCGTGCGGTCATCGTAATAGCTAACCACATAGATTTCATCCTTCTGTGTAATTATCGTCATGTAAAGATTATAATTGTTGGTGTCCAAAGCCTATAAACCATAATAATCTTTGACAATAATGATAGTAGCACCACAACTTTCTCACGTAACTATTTTAAACCTCGCTAATCTGATACGTAGATACAAGATTATGAATGAATCCACTCCGCGAATATTTAATATGTATAGGAATAGGAAAATATTAATTAATAAAGTTTTGTTGTCTTGTCTCTGATAGAAAATCATCAGTTAATTCTTAACTGTAGAAAAAAATGACTTTTGACAGTTTTTAGTATGGAAGAATTGTCAAATATTGAAAGTAGGTATATCTATCTAAGTATTCCTCAGTTAAATTTATCTGGCGTTGGAAAAATCGGCCTTTAGTCCTAAAAATGTGGTCGCACACAATAAATCGCCTATCATAACATAAACACCAATGAATTTCGAAAATCTTTTTTAAAAATCTTGATAATAATTGTCTTTTTTTTTGTCATAGGTAAAGGACATCTGCAACGAGCTAGAAGTAAGGGTGCTGTGTCACAAGATCCTCCAAAACGTATCAATATTATTGGATGCGGATCGAGGGTCTCTGTTCCTGGTGCAAGGGGAGAGAGCATCACCTAATCCACAAAATGGAAGGTTAGTATTGGAACAATATTATATTCTTAAGAAATTACTCAAATATTTTTGTGATTGCACATAACTCAAATATTTTTGTGATTGACTCGCAAGTGCGACTGCCGGGCAAGGGGTCTCGGGTTCGATTCCCGGGTCGGACAAAGTATTACTGGGTTTTTTAAAAAAATCTCAGTTATAGCACAGAGTCTGAAATTGTGTACGGTATATGGCAATAGGCTCACCCCCTCTTACATGGGACTCATAACATAAATAGTGAAAAGTGGGTACATTGTACAGTAGCATAATGTACACCTCTGCGTACCCCTTCGCGAATAAAAGGCGTGATGTTATGATGATGTTATGATTTTTGTGATTGCTGCTTTCAATTCCATTCGTTCAATATATTCGTTGTGTCGACATTCAAAATATCGTTACTTTTAATTTAAAAGCTTTAGGTTCAGTTTGACCCTAAGTCTCCAATGTTATTCAATTTATTAAAAATGTTTCCACTTCTAAATGCTATTGAACATTCTAGTGGCCTATGTTTAAACAGTTTTTACTGAACAAATATTCGATAGTGCCTCTTGAATTTATTGTTTGCCAAGATTAGGTTACGAATAAGCACCACCCGACTTTATCTATTCAAATGTAATTTTTTTACGTTATCATAGTTTCTTGGTTGTATTTTTATTTTATCTGGGCTCTTTTTTATAAAAATGTGAAGGTATGTTATCTAATTCTTTTGGGGTTGGATACTTCCTTTCTATACGGCCACTTATGGCTGGCTTAAGGGTCTCTAGAGACATTTGTTTTCGCTCACCGATCTAAAAGTTGAGGCCAGCATCTACCTAGCCACTTAGACGAGTACGACCAATGGGAACGATTGGTTGACATTTTGAATAAACTATTCGCCTCTGGGGCGTCCCACGTTAAGCTGCTTCAAGAATCACGAAAGTGGAACAAAAGTAAATTAGCAACAAAGTTCCCAATAAGTAGGACGTCCGTTTAAATTTCATAACGCTATGAATATTAATAGCATTACTGATTTTGACTATTAAGATAGTAACTATAATTACTATTTCCAATAAAGACGTCCTTTGTACCAATTAATTGAAACACTACTGATTAAAGGCCACTACAATGGCCTCCAAAACGTTCCCAATAAGAAGTAGAAAATCGAAATTGGAATTTGCACTTGAATGCAAGTCACTCGTTCGTAATCAGAATTTATAGCTTCAAGAACGGGTTTGTGCTACTGCAGTGCTGAGATGGATGTGCTACAGACGTTTCAAGTTGTTAAACATAACTATAGCTATCTCTTTTCTTTGCATGAAAATCGGCGGCAAAGAAAAAGAAAGAGTGGCAAGCCGTATGTCATGGACAGTCGTATGAGGTCTGTTATTAGCATTATGTATATAGGATTTATTGCGGTTTTCTCTACACGACAACTGTATTCCCATCTGCCACAGCAATTTTATTGTCTGTGAAGACTTTTACGATTCTCTTGATTCATTGCTAATGAAAACATTTCTAATGAAAACGGATGAATATAAAATCTACACAAGTTCTAATGGTTCCATTCCAATAAAGAAAAAATATGACTTGTGTAAAGTCTAGACGTTCATCAAACTTTTCTTAAGCGCTATCGTTTTTTTTTTTTTTTTTGTAAGTGCTCAAATTATCATAAGAGAACACACATCGTGTTGAAAATCGTTCTAAGTTTACCAAGACTTTTCAATATTTATTTTCTCTTGTTCAAATATTCATTCGTAATTGTTGTCATTTTAATTTCATTCGTAATTGTAATATTTATAAGTCTTGTGTTTCATGTCTGTCCAGCCTTGCTCTGATTTCAATGCCCGGATTACTAATATGTGCCCACACAATCTCAGTTTGACGTCATTCAGTAAAATCCTAATTTTAGCGTCTTTTATGTTCTAAGAGATTAATAGTTAATCTTTTATCAGTACACCTTTTACTAAATCGTTAAGCTCTTTATGACGCGGTTGGACAAATGTGAAACGATTTGAAAGTAATGAAATTGCAAGGAAACTGTTTAAGAGATAATTACGTCTAGACGTCAAAGTAAATTTCGGCGTCTGAAGGATCAAATTTAATTACGAAAATTAATAGCTCAACGTCGTCTTAGCCGCCGACCTACAGTGATTGAACCTTTGGATGACACTGTCAGACTATCGAGTGCACATTGTGCAGTAGTTGAAAACTTTATAGCGTGTTTATATTCTGAAAATAATCATTATGCTAATGTGAAGTGGAAAGTTCATGAATACAATGTCAGTACAATGTGCTTTTTGAACGTCCTGTATGTAGCTGTGTTCTATTGCAGTTAATAAAAACGTTAAACTTAATCTAGTCTCAGTAAGATGTCGCGGAGAACCTAACGGGTAACCGGGGCTCCGGCTCGACGTGCAGGAGAAGGAACGGGGTGGTTTTTAGTCAGTAAGAGTCTGACTGACACTCCCTTCCGCCTTACCCAGGCGGCAGCAGTCATTCGATGATTTTCCCCACTTAAAAAAAAAAAAAAAGTCTCAGTAAGATCTTTATGGGTTAAGCCCTCTTTGTTTTTTTTTTAGTTTATAGTAAATTATTTCATTGCTGTGGAATCATATCTAATGTAGAGTATATTTTCAGTTTCTTTAAACTAAAAGTCAGATTGATGGTTTTTATGAATTGTTGATCTTACGCTTAATGAGAGAATCTACTCTTTATCTAAAATTTGACTATTACATAATTGCGTAAACGAGTGAAACAGCAACTTTAGCAAAATTCCAAACTTTAAAAAACTATTTTAATAACATTATTTAGTTTTGATTTTACAAGTGAAATTTAAAAAACTTTGCCAATTTAATACATTTTTTCCAAGACATTGCTTCGAAATAGAAATTTTAAAATTAGCATGTTCTCACATAGTTTGTGGAACAAAGACAAAGAATTGCCAACTGTCTGCAAGTTAAATTAATATCGTGACCATGCATACTTGTGTCAAATGGAAACCGCCTGGATATACAATATTGGTCTGGAGCTAATGCAATTTTGTACTAGTTTGTATTCGAAGTGACTCCGAGCAACGGATGCACTTAACATATTGACAAAGTTCATAACAACGAGAATGCATTATGTATCGTGAATATATTCTGCTATTGATTGCGTTACCTTGTACGTCAAGTGTCCTTATTAGACTATATCTTGCGGATCTGAATAATCCATCTCATTATTTTCATTTCGAGTATTGTGTATAGAGTTCTAAAGTGCTTCGTTGGTCTAATGGTTTTTTCAAATTAGATACTGACAGACGTCATTAGATGATGTGACCATTCCCTTATCACATTCATAATAGATACTAGTCCAGATGATAAAAGTTTAAAATGTGGTGGTGACTTTTAATTCCAGTTTTTAATATTTTTATTATTTGTGTTCATTCAACGTTACAAATAGGCATTGAAAGGGCCAAAAAGCAAAGCGCCGGTTTCTAGCTTACCGCGGTGCATATACGTTCCTTACGCGGCGTTCGTATCGAGCCGAGTACAAAAGCGTTCATAAAATATTTCACCGTTTTCCACGTTTGTACATTCGTATATATTTTTTTCTCTCAGTTTTCAACGGCTCTAAACCCTTTGAGGTTTCTCTGAAATGGAATTTCGCATGGAAATTCATTTGGAAGCGCGCATTAAAGGTGCTTCACCATTAGGTACCATTGCGGTTTCCCATGTTTCGTCCCCTTTTTTATTCTTCTCTGTTTGTAGAGAAAGGTATTTGGTTTATCATTTTTATTCTTACGTTTATTCGTTTCGTGGTCATGGTCCATTAGAATAATAAAAACAAAATAAACGGCCAGGAAATAACATCAAGTTACCGCATTATTTGGCAGGAAACAATTTTCTTTTGCATTATATTTGTAAATGTCTTCATCGCTGATTTTGTTTCGAATCTTGTTCTTAGCGGGAAATAGCGCTGATGTTGCTTATGAAGGCCAATATAAGAACATCATAATAACATTAGCTGTGTTTGTTCCTGAAAGTAGTGTACGCGAGCAATACAAGTTTCTACCTTAGTAATGTTTGTGTATTATGTGCAAAAATAGTTACATTCAAATTCTTCTTTTTAACCAAATTCAATTTAAGCTCGGTGATCGTTGAAAAATGTCCGCTAGTTTTAACTGGATACAAAACTTTGTTATGAACTCTCCCTTGTTATAAACTACGGTACAGTTCGGATGTCTGTATCAAAACTTGTTTATGGCTCGCATTTGTAGTCGTGTTGTTCACGATTTGTTTAAGTCCCGCGGTGATGTCAAAATACGTAATTGTCTGAAGGGTTGTATCTCGTTTTGTTGATGTTGAGCAGAAGTTTTAGGTAATTAGTTGGGTTATCATGTAGAATGGGACTTTTTTCACGTTCAACTCTTTCCTAATCAACTCTTTCCTAAGATTTAGTAATGGGATTATCACTATTGACTTTTTCTGATTAGCTGGCATAGGGTTGGAGTATGTTCAACTTGTGAGGTGTTGGACTCAGAGATTAATTGAAAATTAATTACCAAGAAATAAGTATACCTAAATTTTAGGACAACAGTATATTCACAGTGATATTGATAATGGATAAAACTGAAATATTTCAATCAAACCCATTATACATAACTAGCTTTTGCCCACGACTTCGTCCGCGTAGAATGTGATTTATCCTCAAGGAGCATAATAAAAAGAGATAAAAAGTCCTATCCCCTAAATAAGCCCATACCCTGCCTGTATGCCAAATTTCATCAAATTCCGTTTAGTAGTTTCAGCGTGATTGACGGATAAACATCCAAACAAAGAACCTTTCACATATAATATTAGTGTAACTTGCCACTTTAAATTGTTATTAAAATCAAATAAAACGTTCTAAAGAACATTCCAGAAAACCTATATAGTGGATATCTGTTGGAGAGATATATTGTACACCCATGGGAAGCTTGAGTTAATGTGAATTACCGTTCTCTAGGCGCAAATCTGTCCTCGGTC